ATTATTATTATTATTATTATTATTATTATTATTATTATTATTATTATTGCAACTACGTTATCTTCACTGTTACTATTATTGTTGCTATTGTAATTACAACTACGATTATAACAACAATTACTACTGCTACTGCTACTGTTACTATTGCTATCAATACTGTTACTTCTACTACTACTATTACTGCTTCTACCACTGTTACTACTATTACTTCTTCTACAACTGCTACTATTACTACTACTGCTGCTATTACTACTACTACTACTACTACTACTACTACTACCTGTATTACTACTAACTGCTACTGCTATCGCCGCTATTGCTACTGCTACTACTTCTACAATTACAGCTGTTGTTGCTGCTGCTACTGGCCCTGCTGCTGCTGTTACTGCTGTTGTTGCTGCTACCACTAGAACAAATATATACTATGCTACAGATATATACTATTGTTTGAAGTTATAATTTTTTTTTTTTTTTAAATGTGTTTGAATAAAAGTCAACAATTGGTTTCTACTCGATTAGTATCAATAGTAGCTATTTCTCTCGTTTCTTCTGCGTGGACGGCAATGCGATATAACGTAATAAACTCTGTATATAATGTAATATTGATGCGATCAATATTGTCGTCATCATCATCATCATCATTATCATCGTTCACCGCCACCACCATGACCACCATCACCGTCATCGTCATCGTCATCCTCATCACTATCATTATTAATATTATTATTATTATTATTACTACTATTGTTATTATTATTGTCATCATCATCATCATCATATTATTGTTATCGTCATTCAGAGCTGTCATCGTTATCTTCGATATTACTATGATCAATATCGTTATATTTTTATTAATAATATTTTTTTGTTTTGATTGTTATGCTCCCTATTTATTTATTTTTTGTTGTATTGCAAGTATTATTAATTTGTTTCTGATTATTTCAAATTATTATATAAATTATAATATATCATTGGCATCATTATCATCATCACATTACTGTTTACTTTATTATTATTACTGTTGCTGTAACTACTGTTACTATTAGTGTTATTATTATATATTTATCTTCATTGTATCCATTGTTGACGATACATTATTGTTATGGTCAACGAACAAAAGGCATGATATCTACTTAAAATGTCTACAAAAAAGAAAAAAAGAGAGTAAATCTTAGTGATCAAGTATATATGGACATATATATATCGATTTCAATGAAACGTATAATTATTGTGTGTACATATGTATGTCACGTGTGTATGTATGTACACACGTTTGTGTGTCTTTATATATATGATTGTACTTATACAGAGTATATATACATTCGTATACATGCATATGTGTATACATATGTACATATACCGTATCGCATTAACAAAAAAAGGCGGTTTTCCACATTTTTGTTATTCACATGTTTTAATCATTTTTTGCGCTCGAGTATTCTTTTCGTTATAGGAAATTTTATTTTTAATGTTACTTAAACTACAACTGGTGATTAGGATATTCGAGGCTAAAAAATGTAAGGAATGTGAACTTATAGATTTGCCGGGTTTTAGACTTCTGAGTTTGCAGAAATCGCGAAACGTTCATTATTAACATTGGAGAATGACAAAAAAGTGACATAACAATACGTGCAATGGTATTGTATCGATCTCTGAAAGACTTAAAAAAGTGTTATCATTGAAAGGGATACGATTTGCAAACGATAAAACAATTATCTGTGTGGAATACCGTCTATAAATACTTATATACATGTATAAATAAATATTGCGAAAATTAATAATAACTTGACGTATAACACAATGTTAGTGAATATTAATATAAGTTAACACAATATCGAGTGATTACTACTTGTAAATTAGAAGACAGAAAGTATATCTATATCTACATCATATATAGATATATGCAGAGTATTTATCTTGCTAGTTGACTCAAAAGGAAATTTCGCCGCACCGGTATATGTAATCTGTCGTATCCAATAATACCAATATCCACACAATATGTAGCGCAGAGGCGGTTATATGTTGTATATATGTAAAATGAAAACGAAAGTAAGTGATCCGCAATATGATTGACGGCATTTTAAGTCAACTAACAGAAAAATCATATACG